TAGTTACATTGATAAATTTATAATATCATATAATATTATAAATTTATAATATAATAAATAAACTTATAATTTTATTTAATGTTGCAACTATAATATTACTGTACTTGTAATATTTTCTTTAAAAAAATATATACAGTTGCTAACTAAATGCTTAACAATTTTATCTTTAATTAATCCAATGTTACTTTTTTGTACTTTGGCAAAACGCTTGGCCAAAAGGGAAAAGGCGAAGCAACAGACACAAAAAGCATTGGTTCTCCGTAATTTCTGCCGACTGAGTCTCCTATAATTCCTGTTCTGACCTCAAGGAAAAAAACAAACAAAAAAACAAGACCATTTGAGATGGGCATAATCGATTTTTCAAGAAAAAAAAATCTACGCATTAAGATTCTCTGATTACCTTTCGTTTTAAAAATATTTTTTTCAGAATCTAAGCATATCTAGGATCTCGGCCGAAGAGGAAAAAAAAAAAAAAATCATATCTAGGTTCCATAAACTTCTTTTAAAGCAGGGCAATTAGTAAAAACCCCTGTTTGCACCATTTATTTATTTTTTTTTTGTAACATTTTTCAGAATTTTTCTTCTTTATTCACACCCTTTACTTTTTAAAACTTGTGAAAAACTTAATATTTTAACAGGTCATCACGGCATCGTTAATAACTGTTAAAAATTGTAATACGTGGCATCAGTGTCGTTAATAACCGTTAAAAATTGTAACACGTGGCATCAAACAGGAACATAATCCAATGTGAACTTTTTTTTTGATGATATGACATAATTAAACCATAATTAATTTTAATTTTTTCATTTTCTACTTTCCCGCATCATCTTTACTATCTTCCTCTTCATCTTCCTGGTTCCTCATGGAACCAGAAACCCAAAACTTTATGTCACATTTATTAATTCAATGTTGGACTTTTTTTTATAATGTGTTATAATTAAATCATTATTAATTTTAATTTCTTTATTTTCTTTTTTCCCAGCATCATCTTCACCATCCTCGTCCTCATCCCCCTAGGTTCCTCGCGAAACCCAGGTTCTGAGTTCTTCGTGGAACCTAATTTCACATAAATGCCTATCAAGCTAAGATTTTCATCAACACAATTATAAGTAAATGAATACTGCACAAAAATATGATAAGCATCTTCTACTCCTTTCCCACAAAAAACGAAAAAAACTCAAATTGACAACCTATTCAAAAACGATCTCCAAGCAAAAAAACTCACCTTTCCAACAAAAAAATTATTCCAAATTGCTTTGCATAAAATCGGAAGCTAAGATAAATACATTCAAAATAAAAAAATAAAAAAAAATGGTTGGAACCCAGTTTCTGGGTTCCTCGCGTTGAACCCAGTTCGGGTTCCTGCGTGAAACCCAGTTCTGGGCTCCTGCGCGAGGAACCCAGAACTGGGTTCCATGCAGGAACCCAAACTAGAGGATGGTGAAGATGATGCCATTGAGAAGAGGATGGTGAAGGTGATGCCGAGGATGAGGGGGAAAGAAAAAAAATGAAAAAATGCCATTTATGTAACTGTTTGGTAATATTATAATTTTTTATTATTTTCACTGTATACATGGCGTCCACATCCGTAAAAAATAAATCACGTCATAAAAAAAAAGATACACGTTAGATTACTAACGTTACATAGTGTCACGTCAATTTTTTGGTGTCACGTAATATATTTTTTAACGGTGCCGTGATGACCCGTTAAAATATTAGGTTTTTCACAGATTTTGAAAAGTGGAGAGTGTGAATAGGGAGGAAAAATTCTGAAAGGTATTGACTGCGAAAAAAAAAAAATGAAAGGTGCAAATAGGGGCTTTGCCCTTAACGTGGCATAACTTTGCAAGATTCAATATATCATTTTCTTTTTTTTTTTTTAATGGCATAGTTACCATGTAATTGATATTGTAAATTTGTAATTATAATATATTATTATATATAGTTTTAATGACATTTTATAAATATAAGTTGATAATTGTATGTGGTAT